TCATCCACAAAGTGGTTGGTTATCTAAATGTTGCAGTCTATAATCTGCAAGCTATCCTTTATGTGGGGGCAAATTATACATTCCCATTTTCTTGTTCAAGTTATTCCTCGTGGACAAAGATATCTTAACCATAGTGAATGCTGGGTGGGTTTTTGGATGAAAAAAGCTGCAAAGATTACTTTGAACAGTTTGCAACATGAATACAACTTAAGTATCATCCTGCCATTTCTGTATCTTAGAGGTAGGTGGGGAGAAACTGCAGGTGCATCTCTTTGCCAGAATATATAGTAACGTATTTTGGGAAGATTGTATAATGTAGCGCCCATTTTTACCATTGGTTTCATGAGATAATTATAAAGCACTAAAGCAAATCAGCATACTAGACTGGTTGAATATGCTAACATTTTAATTTTGTATAGAGGGTGATTACTGTTATTATTATTTATAGAGTGCCGTAAGTGTACATAATGCTTTATAAACACACAGGCAGACAAGGTGCCCAGAGGTGCCTAAATTCTAATTGCCTGAATTAGACATTCTAAATGAAAAAAAAGCTACTCTGCAAAAGTGGAAAGAGACTAGGCATAAAATTGTGTTAAATAAGTGTTTATGAAGGACTGAAGGATAAAAGCAAGTGTTCTTTTAGATTTAGGTTGAAGTTGCTCCATAGAAGTCAAGAAGAACCAAAGTACTGTAACTAAGCCCATCTAAAAATAATTTCTGAAACCTTAAGAGAAATTGCAACTGGTTCCTATAAATTAAGTTCTCCCCTACTTGCCTACGTCTAGGTCTGCATTTCAAGTTCCCAGAGCACAACTCATAGGGAGTTCACAAAAAAGGGGGGAAAAAAGGATTGTGGGCTCTTTGAGTGGAGAGACCAAGTCTGACAGGTGTACAGACTTTCTAAATCCATTCTCTTGACTAGGACTTTTCTTGCCCAGTAATGGGAAAAATGAAAACTTTGCAAGTAGCAGCAGTGTTTTTACAGATTAGCAAATCTACATATTAGAGGTACCCCTTATAAAAACACGTAACGATCTACCCTTTAAGGAAGCCCTTCTTAAAACCTGAACTGGAAACAACAATGAATTGTCCTTTTACTATTGTTCATTAGATTTGATAATGTCACAAAGATGTTCTTTGATGTCAATGTAGTGCACTTAGGAAGAGTGTTGCATATATCACAATAAATTCAAGGAATGGTCTATTGTAAGTTCCATATGAAAATCTATGATGAAGTACAGTTACCACATATAAACATACGTGTAAGTAAAATGTCCTTATTTTTAAATATAGTTGAGTCCAACTTTCATCACAAAATTATTACCTGTCATCCACAAAATAGTTGGGTATCTAAATGCTTCTTCATCAACATTTTCATATGAAATTTAACTTGGCACTACCTTGGGAGTACTATTTATAAACGTGTAAGGTCAACTACTTGTCTTGGTTATGGTATTTTTGAAATTTGAATTTATTGAGTTTATCAGTCTAGGCCTTCTTATCAGTTTAGCACTCCTTAAAAAGAAATTGGCCACTTAGATTTTTGTCTTCAGGGTTAACTCTATCAGATTAGAGGGCACTACACAAGCAGTTCAAACACAAAACTATTAATATATCATGAAGCATAAAATATTAAGAATCAACCCAAGTCCTGAGAGAAGTTACAGGCAAATGCCAGTGTTTTATCCCAAATTCGCTATGCTCTGAAACAAGCATTTAAAATGTTTTGATCATGTTTTCTTTATGATGAACTATTTTAGTCCTCTTCTAAATGTCACTCTAGAAACATACGTACATAATTGAATAGATTTATTAAAATCATTTTGGCAATATTTTATAAGTGGTGTATATATATGTGTGTATCTCTATATATGCATATATGTATGGCTACTATACAAATACGTATACATAGGTATGCTGTAAGTATGTACAAGATCGGTGGTAACTGGTTTTTAGCGGCATATAGGAAGGTAAGTTCTATGAGAAAAAATTAATTTTTATTCTTATTCTTATCTTTTTAAAATTTGCTTTTGTGTTACAGAAAATGAGAAGCTGCCTCCAGGATAGGGGGAGCTTCTTTTGCTGTGGAGATAGCTTCTAGAAGGACAGAAATTATGATTCTCCATAGTTTTGCCAACATGTATTTGCAAGAGAGTTTGGCTTAGAAACTTTAATGGCTATGGAGTATGTGATGAAAAGCCACTGCAATATTAAAATAGTTACCTTCCCACTCCAACACCCTACTCTTTGACTCCCAACAGAGCTATTCCTTCCTTGTAAACATGATGTTCTGGCTTCATAGCTATGGATTGACATACGTGTGTGTGTGTGTGTGTGTGTGTGTGTGTGTGTCTCTTATTTTCCACCTGATCCCTTTATTGTGCTTGATAATTGAACCACCTGGCCATAGGCGGCCTATGTTTGAGAGCATAGTCACAAACATTGGCCTGTGGCCGGTTGGGCTATAATTGCAGTGGCTGGACTCTGACTCTCTTCTCACTGATTGGGGCACAGTCTGGGGCACGTTGAGCTAACAGTGTTTCTGAACTCATCACCAACGCGTATGCCCAACTTAAATGATGTGTTGCTTCCTAAGCAATGGGAAATATTTGTAATGCACTTTGAACAGTGCTTCTGAGGTTCAAACCCCAAAATTTTAAAACATGTACATGTAGACCAATGTGAAAGAAATCTCACAGGTTAAGGGCAGCAAGTGATGTTTCTATGGACAGTTCAAATCCTCACTCAGACTGAGTCACTGTTTAGCCATTGGTAGTTATTGTTTTCAGGGTTTATTTTTTTCCTCTCCTTTTCTTTCCTTTCTTTTTTCTCTTCTCCTTTCCATGTTTTCAATTTCATACATGTATACATATGCACGTGTATATATACACATACATGTGTGCGTGTGTATATATGTGCACGTGTATATATATGTGGACATATGTATATGTATATACACATATTTGTTTCACATATATGCTATAGGGTTCAGCTTAAAACAGATTTTAAAACGTTATTTTATACTCTTTAAAAAACAATTCAGTCAACATATATTTATTAATATATGTTGTTATACCTGTTTATACCAGGCATTGCACTGGGTCGTTAGAAAAGAAAAACAAAATTCTTGGCCTGGAGGAGTTTATAAGTGGAGAAGGAAGGCAGACATGCAACCAACCAATCACATCAGAAAGTAAAATAGTTGTTGTAGAGTTGTGAACAGAAGGCAGTGGGAAATAGGGAAGAAGTGCTTAGACTTGCCACATCAAATAAGCATTACTTACCGCGGCGTGTCAGCCAGGCTGCTACCTGCTAATATGGCATCATTTACTTGCTGCATTGAACACTTGGAAGGAAAACTGTGACCCAACAAAGAAGGTTCATGTGTACCAGCATAGCTGCCTCTTGACAATTTTGTTTTCAAATCATGCCTTTAATTTGTCAATGACTTGCCTATTCCCACACTATTAATCTGAATTAGCGTTTTCAAGAACAGTGATTCCTACTGAAAAATTGCTGCTTTTGAAAGACGCAGAACTAGGAACTAGTTATGTAATCCCTTCGTGATGTCAGGGTGCTTTCACATTTGCACGTTAAAAAATAGGACGGTTACAGTTCCAAGAAGCCCTTGGGGCGATGAATCTACACCCTTCTCTAATACTCCTTTGTTCTAATTAGGAACATGCTGGGCTGTACTTTACTTATTTTAATTATTCTATTTATTCGTGAAATCTAATGCATGGTTAAGGATATCCATAATTTTGTCTAATTAGCTAGAATTTGAATTTTCAAATGCGGGAATGTTTAAGATTATTAAACCTAAGACAGTAGACTAGGATCTCAGGCTTGCTTCTATTTTGTTAAGCTTCCATTTGAGAATCAAGAGTGTAATGAAACTTTCTGCTGCTTCATCCAGATCTGACTCTACTTCGGTAACTTTAAAAGGGTTGAAAAACAGTGTATGTGGATGGAGAATATTTTTGCCTCTTTTACTTCCCACTTTCTACCCTTTCCATTAAAAATATTTTAATAAATAAAAAGTCATCTTGGCGATTAAACAGTGTCTGGATTCAGGAAGCAAGACGCTTGCAGTTAAAAACCGTTGCCACTCGACGGGGGCAAAATTGCTGGCTGCACTGGAGATCACTGCAGAGCGCGCCTGATGCCTCCATGCTGACAGCGGATCTGGCGCGGGCTGGGGCGCATTGCACATTCTGCTCCAGCCGGGAGGCGGCAGTTGGGCAGCTCCGGACTGGGCACTCGGCAGTGGGGAGTAGTGCTCAGAAGGCGCAGGGAACCAGTCACTCAGCCTCAAGGATGACTGGGTCTCTGCTAAGGGACAAATGCTCCAGGAACAACCTCTAGCCATCCCAGCACCACCTAACGAACCTTCCTTTGGCGCTTTTGCAGAAAGTCTCTTCTATTTTTGGCCCCCAGGACAATTTCAGAGAACCAGTAAAGTTGGATGACAACGTGGATCGCTTTCTAGTGTAAGGTCCCGGGGAATGGCAAAAGCTCACTGATGAGCTCAAGGAACTCTGCTTGGAGTTGTCACCCCTACGACTGACCCAAGACCCAGGACCCAAGGGAGGGGCCTTTTGCATCTGGAATCCAGCCTCAGCCTTGACCCCTTTCGCTTGCTTGGAGTGCTTTCGCCCAGCTTCTGGCGGAGGTTCACTCAGGGAGGGGACTCAGGTGGAAAAGGTTGGCCCATTTGATCTCTTTGCAGGAACTTAGTAGACAGGGGCCCCGGGCTGGAGATGTGCTCCCAGTAGACTAGAGGCGACTTTGGCGCACCGAAGCTGGCTGTCTTGCGGGAACCTGCGGCGGAGGTTGGAGGTTGAGAGGACTCTGCGCTCTTCTTCCCCAAGTCGAACTCCCTCCTACAAGAGCGTGAAAACCAACTCTTACACACTGTCTACCCCACTCTTCCCCCAAAACCTCTAGCGCAGCTTTTTAAAGGCATCCTGGGCAGCCTCCAACTTTGGGGAAAGAGAATGCCCAACTCCGGCTCTCCCACTACCCGTACCGCCTTCTTCTTTGTCCTGTGGTCGCCTCCAAACTCTGCTTCCCTAGTGTCCCCGCCCCGACCTGGAAGCGAGCGCCCCCGGCTGTTCGCGGCAGCCCCTCGGCGCCCGTTTACAGGGAGCTCTGTCTGGCTCCTCACAGGATCCAGCTGCGGTTCCCATTCGTCCCCAGCCCTGCAGGGCACACGCGCGCGTGCACACGCACGGGCTTACACTCCAGCTCACACTCCCGCGTCCTCACTCCCTGCACCCCACCCTCCGCGCCGCTCCTCCGCGGGGTGGGGGGTGGTGGGGGTGACGTCAGGACTGCAGTCCAGAGGAGAGCGGCTGGAGAGGGTTGCGCGCTCCTCTCCCAGCAAGCGAGAGGCGCGCTCGGGTCGCCGCCGCTCCCGCGCTCCTCCCTCTCCTCTGCACCCACTGTCACGCTACCCGCCCGCGGGGGAGCCTCGAGAGCCTCCAGGTGAATTGAAAGTCGTTTCCGGGGGAGGACGGAGAGGGTGCTGCAGTCCTGGCATGCCCTGAAACTGCAAGTCGGGCAGAAACGACCCGGTGGAGGAGCAGGGCGCCCAGCGCCCTGCGCAGCATCCCCGGGCTGCTGGAAGAGGCCACCACTCGGCTGGCAGTCGGGAGCGGCAGCCGGACCTCGGCCCCAGACTCGGGCCCCCGGCACGCTCGCCCGGGAGACACCCCTTCCCCCTCTTGCGCATTTCGCAGTTGCGCTGGTGTGGGGCATGAGAGCGCGGTGGCTCCAGGTCTCCGCGGAGCAGCTGCCAGTGGGAGAGCGAGGAGAGGCGAGGGGGCGGCAGCCTCGGCCCGAAGTAAGTGCAGCAGAAGTTTGCGTCGGTTGCCCCGCCGCTCCCCCAGCGCGAGTGGGAGGCAAATCTTCTCCCCTCCTTGAATAAGGAAACCGAGGGGAGACTTACAAGGGAGCCTTTCACGGGAGAGCAAGTGAGCGTTTCGAGAGAGGGCAAGGACCCCCCAGGAGGGCCAGGCCAGGAGGGGTCTCGGTGCGGTGATGGCATGCCAAAAGAAGAAGACCCCAACTGGGAGGAGGGACTGAAGAGGAACCGGACCCCGGGGATCTCAGAAAGGGAGGGATGTGGGGAGAGTGAAGGTGGAGGCAGTCACACCTATCCTGGTGACCTTGGCGTGCCCCCCTGGAGTGGCGAGCCAGGGGCTTATATAGGCGCGACTAGGATGTTGCCTCGTGTCTCACTCGGGGCTAGGAAGAAGGTATCGCTCTTCCTGAGAGCTGGAAGACAGGGGCAAGAGGAGAGAGAACCGGCCCCGAGACGGGCTGGAGGGTGGGGACACCGGGGAGTTTGGAGCTGGGGGTTCAGGAGTAGGAGGTTTGGGTCTTCTAAGATGCTCCAGCTTCTACGTAGGCGACAGAAGTCGAGGGAGGAGGCGAATGTGAAGCTTCGGGTCGCTAAGGTTGATGTTGGGTTTCTTTGGAACCTAGTCATTAATTCTTGTCATCAGGAGGCTTCGCGGAGGGCGACAGCACCTGGGAGCAGGGTGACCCCCGCAGCGGCCGGCCTTCCGGCTGGTGCCCTCCCCGCCAGCCGCTCTCCCCGCACCGCTGCCGGTCCTCCGAGACCCCGGACTGTCCTGAGCTGCTTCGAGGGCAGGCGAGACCCCGTCTGTTCAAAAGAGACCCTCGACATTCTGCTCACTTCTTTTCGGGTCACGTTCAGCTCTTTTGGGCTCTCTCTTTCCTAGTGGGATTCTCACAAGGAGGTTTTCTTCTTTAACTGACCCTACTTCTAATAGGGGAAAAAAGTTCCTGGAATCTGCGCTCATCTTAGGGTCAGAGCCCTGCAGAGGGCAGGCGAGGACGGCGCGGGCCAGCTCGCCTGCCCTGTTCTCACCTGGGGAGGGTTCTCAGAAATTTGACATTAAATTTGATGAAGCGATCCTAGGAAAGTGGCGAAGGCACCTTCTACAAGAGTAGGAGTTTCTGTGCTTAGGAAATGGAAATCCCACTTAGATTCTGATACCAAGGCTATACTTTTGAGAGAGAGGGAGATAGTTAATTAAAAACTGATGCCATTGAGTTGGAGACAAAAGTCATTTGTAATGCATCTTGGTCACTCAATTTCACTCCGTCCCCACAAAACACTTTATGGGGCCCGACTATGTATGTGCTAGACATTGTGCTAGTTGCTCCTGCAAGAGAGATGATTCATGTGTGGTCTCAGGCTTTGGGAGCTTACAGTCTGTGCTAGAAGTGGTTTGGAAAGAAGGTGAAGAAAATGCTTGCTCTACAGGGAAGGGCAGGTGCCCTTTTTTTTTAACCACATCTGGTTTTAACCACAATGACTCACACTCCCAGCTTATTAAGTGTGGGGACCAATATTTGCAAGACGGTATCCTCCTTGAAGGCGGTATACTGTCATTCATCTTTGATTCCCAGAGACCACCACTGCACATGCACATAGTAGGTCATCAACAAGTACTGTTAAATGAATAAATGGATGGATGAATTATGGATAGTTAAAAGTATCCTAACGAAAGCTATCATGCTAGAGGAACATGTAAAGAAGAGATGAAAAAAAGGGAATTGGAGAAGGCAAGAGGGAAGAAAAAATAAGGCTCATCAACATTCGAAAGTATATATCCTTAAAGAAATGTTTGTTTGTTTTCCATTTTTATGCATTGGAAATTACCAGCACCCAACTCCATTCTCCATGAAATACATGCATCTCTGAACACGTAGATTGTAAATGCCATTTTTAAAGCAGAGTCTCTGTTAACTTACCATGCAGAGATCACAATGCCCTTCTCATGTGGCTGTGTTGACAGTATGATGATTGGGATATGTCTAGGTAGTGAGGCAGATGGGTGAAAAATACTTTAGGATTATAAGAATTCCTTCACGTATCTAATATTTTGCTACTAATATATGAATCTGTACCCTTGTGCTTTAAACATACTTAATTTAAACCTGATTGAAATATGCATATATTGATTTTACTAGTGAAGATTAAACACATATATGAAAGACTTTCTTTCATTTTATTAATTGAGCCCAAGTTACTGTTGCACTAAGGTGGCAGGTGATAAATTCCAAGGTGAGTAATAAGGATTCCCCCCAACTCCCTGCCAAATTTAGTTTCATTATTTCGGAAAACTAAGGCTTCATATTTTTTTAAAAGTGTGCAACAAGGTCGGGCACAGTGGCTCACTGCTGTAATCCCAGCACTGTGGGATGCCGAGGTGGGCAGATCGCTTGCGCTCCAGAGTTTAAGACCAGCTTAGGCAACATGGCAAAACTCGTCTCTACTAAAAATACAAAAAAAAAAAAAAAAAAAAAGGCTGGCATGGTGGTGTGCGCCTGTGGTCCCAGCTACTTGGCAGGCTGAGGTGGGAAGATCCCTTGAGTCCAGGAGGTCGAGGCTGCAGGGAGCTGAGATCGTGCCAGTACACTCCAGCTTGGTTGACAAAATCAGACCCTCTAAAAAAAAAAAAAAGTGTACAACAAAACTACTTACTTTTGCACTGCTTTTTCAGTGTTTATCAATGATAATTATAATTCACTAATTTGAGTCAAGAGTTTATAGTCAATAATACTGGTTTTAGTTTTTGGAAACTTTTCAGTGCTATGTGATTTGGGGCCATTTGTAGAATATTTGTAAATTTTATTTTATCTACTTACAAAATGAGATTATTGTACTTACATGATTTAATTAGGCACTGAAAATCAAAATATGTTGATGTGGAGCATTGCTTTGTTTGGGGCTTTGTATTCTGTAGTTAATGTCATTAATTTAGTATATCAACACTGAGAAGCAATTTGTAATTAGTGAATAGGAAAAAAGTAATATATTTTCCATTTTTGAGTATCTTGTAGATATTTTAAGACATCAGAGCTCTAGGAAGAGTATTGTGATTGTGGATCATTTATGGTGGTTTAAAATTTATACTGTAGAAGTAAACGTAAAGAAATACTAAAAATGGTAGCTAAACATTGGAATTCTTTAACCAAACATTGAGATGTTTCTTCTGTGGTAGATATTTGATTTGGATTATCTCCAGAACTGCACTGTTAGATCAAATGACTATTTGAGTGAGTCTTACAAATTTGGCAAGAAGCACACTCTAGGAGGCAGAAGTTTATTTTGGAAATTTAGTTAAGGGACAGAAATGCTGAGGTTATAGGAGTGTGGGGTCATAGATTACTGAGTTTAGAAAATATCTGGCCTCATTTTGCAGATGACAAAACTGGAGCCAAAATAGCCAAGGGTCTACATTTCCCAGGACCACAGTCAAATGCATGAGTCCCTTATGTTGCCCACTGTAGGCTTGAGAGAAAATCACACACTCAGAATACCTAAACCCAGGGGCAGTCTAATGGATCTGCTATTCTTTTTTTCTTTTTTTTTTCTTTTTGAGACAGGGTCTTACTCTGTCATCCAGACTAGAGTGCAGTGGCGTGATCTCTGCTTACTGTAGCCTTGACCTTCTGGGCTCAAGCAATCCTCCGATCTCAGCCTCCTAAGTAGCTAGGACTGCAAGTGTGCACCACTGTGCCTGGCTACTTTTTGTAGACACAGCCTCCTGCCTCAGACTCCCAAAGTGCTGGGCTTACAGGCATGAGCCACTGGACCTCGCCGGATCTGCTATCCTTGAATTTGTCTTTGATCTCATTCTCTCCGGCTCACACCCTCCGGTTGCCCCCATCTCTGAGAGCAGTCTCCCATGCCAACCCCCTACTTTCACTGCTCTGCTGCCTGATCAGGTCCTTCTGAGGACAGGGCAGCAAAGGACTTGGTTGGGGTCCCGTGGCTCCCAGCCTCAGACACAGGCCTGGTCCTAGGCAGAGCTGTGAAGTCAGTGATGCTTGGACTGGGTGTTCCCCACATCTTCTTTCCTGCATGTGGATACCAATGTATATCAAAGAATCATAGTTTCAGAGCCAGAAGGGAGGGCAGAGGCCATCTGGTTCATTTTAGAGATGAGGGAACTTGAGCCCAGAATAGGTTCTGTAGTATTCATGTCACAGCCATGGTCAGGATCTCCTGGGTGGTGTTGGTGCTCCTTTTGACTACCTGTGCTCTCTTCTCCATTGGATGGTGCTGGCATCTGATCATTCCATAAAGTGAGCATGTGGGCTCTGGAAGGAGGCACCTGTGTCAAGTTCCAACCCCATCTCTCCCCACCTGTGCAACTATGGGCAAGTTACTGAAGTTGCCCAATACTTTCCTTTCTTTTTCTTTTTCTTTTTTTTCAGAGACTGGGTTTCCCTTTGTCACCCAGGCTGGAGTGCAGTGGTGCAATCATAGCTCACTGCAGCCTCGAACACTTGGACTCAAGTGATCCTCACACCTTGGCCTCCCAAAGTGCTGGGATTACAGGCATGAGCCGCTGTGCCCAGCCGTCCCTTTCTTTATTAATAATTTTTTATTTGTTTTGTTTTATAGCTTAATATAATTACTTTTCCTCCAAATCATACATTTTAAGAAAGGAAGGAACCAAGTATTTCTTGCTCACTACATGTCTAAGACCTGTTTGGCACACAATGGACACTTGATGAAAATTTGTTGAATAAAGGAATGAATGAATAAAAGAATGATTGAATGAAGTACACATCACTTAGATAGAACTGGGAATCTTAATCATAAGAGCCATAGCCTTCTAAAGATTCTAACTCTGAAGTACTGTTTCCTTTGCTAACATTACTTTCTGGATAGATGTGACCCTAATATGCCTGCTCCCTGCTTCTCTCACTTACTCCTTCTCTCAGTAAGTGGCAGCCCCATTTTTGTGATTACTTGGGCCAAAAACCTTGGAGTCATCCTCTGACAGAAAGCATTCA